TACAAAAGACACTGCATACCGTTAGAATACAGTCAGTCATACATTGCTTAATGACTAGAATATATTCTGAGAAATGTATCTTTGTGCAAACATCATACAGTATACTGACACAAACCTAGGCTACAAACCTGTACAGCACGTTGCTGTACTGAATACTGTGGGCAATTGTAACACAGTGGTGTTTTGTATCTAGACAAAGAAAAGGTATAGTAAAAATACAATATAATAATCTTATGGGGTCACCATCATGTAGGCAGTCCTTCACCTCACAAAATTATAGCCAGATGAGGGAAACATCCATTTTCCACTACAAAGAGAAAAAGAAGGCTCACATGGGTATTTACCAGGCATGAATAATAGGAGTAAGCTGTATAAATACTTTCACTGGAAATCTTGCCATACTATGCATTCAACAATTATTTTTTTGAGTACCAAGCACTGTACAAGGCTATCTGGCAACAAACAAAATGAAACACTATAATTTTATTCATTGAGCTCAGAGATATGGCAATTACACTATAGCAAATCTCTATGAACATTCCTACACTAATATGCAAATAACCTGTACACTAAAATAAATTTTTGAGCTGGGCGAGGTCATTCATGCCTGTAATCCCAACATTTTGGGAGCCCAAGGCGGGAGGATGGCTTGAGGCCAGGAGTTTGAGGCTACAGTGAGCTATGAGCTATAATTGTGACTGTACTCCATCATGGGCAATAGAGCATGACTGTCTCAAAAAAAAAAAAAAGAGAGAGACAATTTTCTTTGAAATTGATCCTGATTATGTGGTTCCATGTGACATTCAAAGCCAATTGATACAGGCCAGTTTTTGCACACTTCAATTTAAATCATTACTCAGATTAAAAATCAAATGAAATAGTATGAGTGCCTATTTAATACAGACTTTGAGGTAGGTGTCATGAAAAATACATATAATAATTTTTTAAAATGTCAAGAACAGAGGTGGGAGGGGAAGAAAAAAAATGCCAAGAACTAATCCCAGTAAAAAGTGACCCCCTCACTTTTAATTAGGTAACAAATTGTAATTCATGCCCTAGAAGACCTATGGCATGATTTTATTAGGGGATAAAAAACAAATTGTTAATAGAATTGCGGAAATTCCTTATAAACAGGTTGAGGTAAATACAGATTTAGCCACTGAAAATTTTGAAAACGGGAGCTACAAAATTTGGAATCATTTAAGAGAAAGCTAGAAATGACGAAATGAAAAGATCAGAGATCAGGAATCTACAAGCATCTTTTTTTTTTCTTTTAAGAGACAGTCAGCTGGGTACAGTGGCTCATGCCTGCAATCCCAGCACTTAGAGAGGCCGAGATGGGCGGTATCACATGAGGTCGGGAGTTCGAGACCAGCCTGACCAACACGGAGAAACGCCATCTCTACTAAAAATACAAAAATTAGCTGGGCGTGGTGGCGCATGCTTGTCATCCCAGCTACTCAGGAGGCTGAGACAGGAGAATTGCCTGAACCCAGGAGGCAGAGGTTGTGGTGAGCCAAGATCGTGCCATTGCACTCCAGCCTGGGCAACAAGAGCAAAACCCAGTCTCAGGAAAAAAAAAAAAAAAAAAAAAAAAAAAAAAAAAAAAAGAGTCTTGCTGTGTTGTTTAGGCTGGAGAGCAGTGACATGGTCATAGCTCACTGCAGCCTTAAGGTCCGGGGCTCAAGTGATCCTCCCACCAGTGTCTCCCCAAATGCTGGGATTATAGGCATAAGCCACTGCACCTGGCCCAACCACTTCCACAAGCATTCAAAGTGGCTCTGTTCCAAGTAGCCAGGAATAACACTTTGAAGAATCCTGCAGTGTTTTAACTCAACTGAGATTTTCAATTTGCAAACAAGATACACTGAACAGAGCAAGGTGAAATGCCTTACTCAAGTTTAGTGTTTCCCATTCCTGCCAGGCTGACATAGTTGCCTTCTTTCAATACTGGGCCTTTACTGTTTCTCAGGCCTCTCACATTATTTTGCTCTTACTGCCCTCCCTTCGGCCCCCTTTTTAGACAGGGCCTGGAATTGGTTCACTGCAGCCTCCACCTCCTGGCTCAAAAGATCCTCCCATCTCAGCCTCTCAAATAGCCGATACTACAGGTACACACCACCACACTGGGCTAATTTTTAAAAACTTTTCATAGAGATGAGGTCTCACTATACTGCCCAGGTCATTCTCAAATTCCTAGGCACTCCTACCCACTTTCAAAGTCAGCTTCTGTGACAAGGCCTTTCATGCCCATCTGGGTCCACATCCAGGTTGTATTGTTAATTTTTAAAGTGTACCTTTTTCCACATGGGAAACAAAAAGCTCCCTGGAAAGAAAGTGAGCTTTTACATTTGTATCCCCGTCTCAGAGAGATATGCCAATATTTATTCCTTTTTACTGTTTTTTTTTTTTTTTTTTTTGAGACGGAGTTTCACTCTTGTTACCCAGGCTGGAGTGCAATGGCACGATCTCGGCTCACCGCAACCTCCGCCTCCTGGGTTCAGGCAATTCTCCTGCCTCAGCCTCCTGAGTAGCTGGGATTACAGGCACACGCCACCATGCCCAGCTAATTTTTTTTGTATTTTTAGTAGAGACGGGGTTTCACCATGTTGACCAGGATGGTCTCGATCTCTTGACCTTGTGATCCACCCGCCTCGGCCTCCCAAAGTGCTGGGATTACAGGCTTGAGCCACCGCGCCTGGCCTTTTTACTGTTTTTATTTGTAAACAGTATCTTGCTTTTCTTCAAGTAAATCCTTAGCACAGTTAAAGGTATCTAATGAGTACTAAATAAATGGCAGCTTATACTTCTTTGCCCTGTAAAGCTTCAGTTTTTCTAAGTGTGTCATGCCTCACAGTCAAATGTGAAATGAATTTAGTGGGTCATGAAGAGTAAAAAGGAAACAGCAGTTTTATGTGCACACTATAAAGTAAAATGTGTTTCTTACTGTGAGTTGCAGTCAGAAAAGCTTGAAAGCCACAGTTTTGTAAATGTTGGTTAAACTTCTCGAATACATTTTCACTATTTGGTAGATAAGGATAATTTCTTACCCAATTAACATTCAGCCATCCAGTCTTCTCATTCTCCACTCCTCAAAGCTATTGCTAGGTTTACTTATTTACTCCCCATTTCCTTAATGTGAATAAAAAGGAGGGGGTAAATCCTAGTCTACTGAGCATTTTTCACAGTACTGTGTAAGCATTCACCCGAGTCTGTATTCCTCCAGATGAGTCACTTGAGTGTTATAATGCACTTCGGATGGGCTCTTGGAGCACCTGCCTCTCTCAACTCAAGTCTATCTGAAATTCTACATGTCCCAAATAGGGCTTTGAAATCTTCACAATGTGCTTCATCCACATGGGTTTGTGCTTAATATGTGTGTGTGTGTGTGTGTGTGTGTGTGTGTGTGTGTTTCCAAGATTACCTTCTTTCTTTACCTTAGAGCAAGATTCTCTATTTTCACCATTTTACTTTGATAATTGGTAATTCTTGAGAGTCTCCACAAGTTTTAAAATTATATATGTTCCAAATCAGTTCTATTTTCGTTTCTCCTAACTTAAGGTAGTAATATTCACTGACAAAGTTGTGCCTTTTCTAGGTTTCGTATGTATCTTGCATTTTTTTAATCAGCAGGCAAAACGTGAAGGCCTATCCAAGCCTAATAATGCACTCACTGTGACCTGTCACATCTATAATCTAGTTTTCTTTTTGTTACCAACAAAACTCTTGTTAGTTTGAACTCACACCTCATTTCCTCCAATAACTTTCCTAAAGCCCTCCAATAAAATGTCTCCTACCCTCCAAACCTCATGAACACTCAGTTCGAACCTCTTTAACACCTATCAGGCTATGCAAAATTCTAATTATTTATGAATCTGTCTCCTACACTACTCTCCAAGATTGACTCTATGTGGATACTCTGCACTGCCCTCCAAACACCAGAGTGCAAATTTCACATAGTACGGCCTTGGTATTTGCTTACTTAAATTGTACTGAAAAGGTGAAGAGCTTAATTCGGTGGATATAAAAATAGGTTAGGTGCTGTTTCTAACTCTGCAAACCCTCCATAGTCTCAATTTGCTCAAGTGTAAAATATTTTTAAAATGTTTAAAACCATGAAAGATATAATGGGAGAACCATGGAAATGGCAATAAAGAATAAAGTAAAACATGAAGGTATAAGACAGATGTGATGCCCTCTGCCGCTTCCACACGTGGCCCAGTAAATCGGTGCCTGAATTCCTCTCTCGGCTTTCACCATTCTGCCCTGTCATCCCCTTTTACTCTATTTCACAAACCTACCACACCACGGAGTGTGCAACAGACTCCTTCGCTGAACTCGCCTTAGGTCTCTCATAGGACCATATACCTCCAAGCGTATTAGGTAACCGCCTCCCTCTTGCCTTGCTCCTGTTCCGGCCTCTACTGGCCACAACTGCCAGAAGAGTGGGCAACCATTTCCGTTGAACAGTCCCAACTAAAATGGAAGCGCGTCTAGACCTGGACACCTTTAATCCCGCATAAGCCCCAGAATTTCTAGGTCACCGTATTTCCGCCACTGGCTACTGTTTCAAAGCGACTTGAGACAGACATCTGTCTTCAGAGCGCAGCCTTTCCACAACTTCCCAACGCCACCTTAAGGTCCCACTACGCTCCACATGCAGCCGACTCTGCGGGCCTCAAGGAAGGGTGCTGTGCTCCTCCAGCGGTCAAGGTTCCCAAAGACGGCCTGACCTCTGCGCGCCTATCTAAACGGACCCCCAGACCTAACTTCCTCCCTCGAAACTGGGCTTCCCTACCCGTCCTATACTTCCTGAGTTTCCCCCATTTCCCAAATACCATGACCACCTATCGCCTCCTCCTCCACTTTGGGAGATCTGCCTCTCGGCTTTCGACTAAGCACTCTCTTCCCTCCCCGGCCTGGGCGCGGCCTCCCCCCAGCTGGAGGGTCTCCACGCCGGCCCTTCGCCCCTTCTCTACCGCCGCTCATCCCCTACTCACTTTGGGCTTCTCCGGCAGTTTCTTCCGGTTCTTCTTCTTCTGTTCCTCGCTCCGGAGATTCTTTAGCAAGGCTAGGTCGTCAGGGGCTGCGCCCGGCGCGACCGCCGTCTCCTCCCGCTTGCGGGGCGGGCTCCTCCGCTTTTTGCGGGCGCCGGCGCAAGCCGCGGCCCAGCCGTAGCCCAGCAGAAACAGCAGCAGCAGCCCGAGCGCGCCCGTGCCCACCAGGATCACCCAGCCGGGGTACCGCTTCGGCTCCAGCCCCAGGTCGAGGCCCAGCTCGGTGCGCAGAAAGCCTAAGCCGACCGAAAGCATTTCCCGCAGCCGGGCCGAGCCCTCCTCGGCCTGCTGGGCCAGCTCGTCCTGCCAGCTCCGTGCAGCCATCTTCCTTCCCGTCAGAGGGACTCGCAGGATGACGCCGGGGCGCGGAGACGCCGTGGAAGAGTCAAGGGAAGCGAAGACGGGCCAGGCCGGGTGGCCTCAGGCCCAGTGCATCGCGGCCGCCCCTCGCGCTGGAGCCGGGGATCGGCCGCTGCCGCCGCGGGGAGGGCAGAGGGGTCTCCCAGGTCCCCCCGCTGTCAGCCTCACTCCGCCGCCGCCAGGAGACCCGGGAGGCGGGAGGGAGTGTCTCCAGTGGCGGCCGCTAAGCGGCGTCTCGGCGCCAGCGCCAGGCCCCACCGTCCTCCCTCGGCGGAACAATGGCGGCTCGCGCCGCGACCCACGCCGCGCGCGGGGCCGACCGTGGGTCACGTGGGCGCCGATGGGCGGGGCGTGGGCGTCACGTGGGAATCGGGCGAGGTCGGGTGGGGCGAAGGCGAGGCCGAGATGGTTGGTGGTGGTCGGTTCCGGCCTGGTTAAGACGCGGCTTTGGGGACCTGTGACTGTCGACGAGAGGCTGGGAGGGGTTAGTTGGCGGACGCCTCCGTGGGGTAGCTGGTGGCGCTGAGTTAGGAGACGTGGCGCAACGACTAAGTGCAGGGGAGGGGCCCCGTGGAAGGCGGGGGCGGGGAGGAGGATGCAGCGCTAAGAAGCGGGTCACCGGGTCTAGGTCAAAGTCTCCCTGGCAGGTGTAGGGCTCTTCAAACCTTTTTGTGGAGTGGTGAGGTGGAAGCGCGTTTCCTCCCTGGGGGCACCGGTCCGCCGGATATTTCCAGAACGAGCTCAGCGGAGTCTGACGCCGGGCATTCTTCTTCCGGGGCCTAGATTTAATTCACAAATTGGATATTTCTCTCTGGGGTGTTTCTCCCCAGGGCAACTAATACCCTGCGTGCCTGCCAGTTGCCAGGCTGGCGAGGACGCGTTCGCGTCGTTTGGCTCATTCACTCTTGCTCTCAGTCCCCAGAATTCAAAAGTTGGAAAGACCGTGGGCGGCACTATTCTTTCCTACTAATTTGTAGCTTTAATAACGCGTAAGAGGAAGCACATTAGATTGTATTTACATGTGGAGGGAGCTTTCTCGGTACGTTTTATTTTAAGCTTTACAACACTGCAAAAGGAGTTTCCAAAATTTTTTTATTTGCTATGTTGTCCATCTCTGGGATGCAGCTATAGAAGGAAACGAATTGCCTTTTCAGATTTTAATTATAAGGAAAATGTTTGAAGGCTGCCTTACAGTGTTTTTTTTGTTTGTTTGTTTGTTTTTGTTTTTTGTTTTTTGTTTTTTGAGACGGAGTTTCGCTCTTGTTGCCCAGGCTGGAGTGCAATGGCACGATCTTGGCTCACCGCAACCTCCGCCTCCTGGGTTCAGGCAATTCTCCTGCCTCAGCCTCCTGAGTAGCTGGGATTATAGGCACGCACCACCATGCCCAGCTAATTTTTAGTATTTTTAGTAGAGACGGGGTTTCACCATGTTGACCAGGATGGTCTCGATCTCTTGACCTCGTGATCCACCCGCCTCGGCCTCCCACAGTGCTGGGATTACAGGCTTGAGCCACCGCGCCCAGCCGTGCCTTACAGTTTTACGATTATATTTTGCTATAAAGAAACTGTATTTTATCTGTAAATGATAATTAGCATGTAAGAAACTACAGATTCACTTAAGTGACTTTCTCAAGGACTACAACAGGGTTAATACTAATAAGCACCAAATACAAAAAATGTATTTTGACCTATCTTGCAGGAGTGTTGTGATGCATATTGTGATTAATGTGTGGAAGGGAGTTTTGTAAATAATAAAATTATTTCTTATTTAAAGACTAAATTAGGAGACCAAAAACTTAGAAAATGTTATTGGGATCTGCTTTAACTCCAGAAGTTTGGAAATTCCATTTATACTTGTGAAATAAGATGTATAATTCTACAAATGTGTTTTGGTTCCAGAGATGCGAAGGGTCATGATTTTCCTAAGAAGTTACACTGAGTATTCTGACCGTTCTAGATAAATATCTTTGAATTTCTGAATTAAACTATTATAGTAATGGCTGGCACAATGGCTTATGCCTCTAATCCCAGCACTTTGGGAGACTGAGGTGGGCGGATCACCTGAGTTCAGGAGTTCGAGAGCAGCCTGACCAACATGGAGAAACCCCATCTCTACTAAAAATACCAAGTTAGCTGGGCATAGTGGGACATGTCTGTAATCTCAGCTACTTGGGAGGCTGAGACAGGAGAACTGCTTGAACCCGGGAGGTGGAGGTTGCAGTGAGCCGAGATTGTGCCACTGCACTCCAGCCTGGGCGACAGAGGGAGAGTCTCAAAATAAAAATAAAAATAAAAACTATTACAATAATAATAGTGGGGTTTGCCAGTCCCTTTTTTCTGTCCTTTAATCTCAACAATAGAAAACAACAACAAAAAAATACTTTAAAAACAAAAATGAAGTCATACGCTATTTACTTTTTTGCGCTTGAGGTAGCCTTGAGTATATCAAGTAATAAAGCCCACCAGAAACATACCTGTAGTCCAAAAATGTTAGGTTTATTCATTTGCAATACAATGGAGTTTAGGTAAAATTTAAATGAAGCAATGCTTTGAAAGACTCAAAGCAGGCTAAACATGGAGGCTCATACCTATAATCCCAGCACTTTGGAAGGTTAAGGCAGGTGAATCACCTGAGGCCAGGAGTTTGAGACCAACCTAGGCAACATGGCAGAACCCTGTCTCTTGTAAAAATGCAAAAAGCAGGCCGAGCAAGGTGGCTCACACCTGTAATTCCAGCACTTTGGAAGGCCAAAACAGGTGAATCGCATGAGGCCAGGAGTTCGAGACCAGACTGAGCAACATGGCAAAACCCTGTCTCTTGTAAAAATGCAAAAAATAGTTGGGCATGGTGGCACACTCCTGTAATTCCAGCTACACAAGTGGCTGAGGCATGAAAATCTCTTGAACCCAGAAGGTGGAGGTTGCAGTGAGCCAAGATTGTGCCACTACACTCTAGCCTGGGTGACAAAACAAGATTCTTGTCTTGGAAAACAAAAAACAACCTCATATCGAAGTGGTGCTGTCTGTAAGGAAGTTAATTAATATCAAGTCTAGCCTCAATAGAGTGAGAATCCTAATTCCTTATAAATGACAAAATTAAGCTGTTGTGTCTGCACCTGGTTGGAAATAAGGACTGCTTTTTTTGGGAGTGACCCATGCAGTGGAATACCGCCCAGAGATGAAAAGGAATGAACTATGAAGACATGTACCAACATGGATTTATGCTGAGTGAAAGAAGCCAGATAAAAAAGAGTACATAAAACTTGAAAATGCAAACTAATCTATAGTGACAGCAAATGAGTGATTCCCTGGGGATAGGGGCAGAGTGTGGTGGGAGCAAGGAGAAATGGGAGAGAGGGAGGATTACCAAGGGATACCAGGAAACCCTTGCAAGTGATCAATACGTGCATTATTTTGATTGTGGTGGTGGTTTTACTGGTATATATTTCAAAATTTATCAAATATATAAAGTATTGTTTAATTCTTTAATATTAAAGAGTGTTGAAGTATATTCAATATTTCAATAAAGCAGTTCAAAAAAAGATTTTAAAAATTCACAGACTGAAGATCTAGTATTTGATAGAACAAAGTGTCTGTAGTCAACAATAATTTATTGTACATTTAAAAATAAAAGTATAATTGAGTTGTAACACAAAGAATAAATTCTTGAAGTGATGGATACCCCATTTACCTTGACGTGACTGTTATGCATTGTATACCTGCATCAAAATGTCTCATGTACCCTATAAATACATTGACTATGTACCCCCAAAAATTAAAAAATAAAGTGACTAACAGAGCTCAGATCCTAATAAGAGTGAGATGTTCCATTTTCACTGATAGGATTTCAAAGTTTCTGCCAACTATGATTTTAAAGAACAAGGTTTTGGCCGGGCGCGGTGGCTCAAGCCTGTAATCCCAGCACTTTGGGAGGCCGAGGCAGGTGGATCACGAGGTCGAGAGATCGAGACCATCCTGGTCAATATGGTGAAACCCCGTCTCTACTAAAAATACAAAACATTAGCTGGGCATGGTGGCACGTGCCTGTAACCCAGGAGGCGGAGGTTGCGGTGAGCCGAGATCGCGCCATTGCACTCCAGCCTGGGTAACAAGAGCAAAACTCTGTCTCAAAAAAAAAAAAAAAAAAAAAAAAGAACAAGGTTTCTCCACACTATATCTTTGATGTTTATTAACAAAAGCATTTTTTAATGGGTTTGCACAATATCCACTTAAAATACCATTTATAATGGCGAGATATTGTCTGTCTCTGATTTAACATACTTTATTGTTGTAAGTTAGGTTATTGACAGGATTTCTGTTTTTGTTTTTTTGCCATTAAATGTAGTTCTGTCGTGAACATGTTTGTAACTAAAACTTTGTGAATATCCATGATTACTTCCTGAGATGGAGTAGTGGTATTATAATTGCCTGACCCATAGCTCACCATTTGTGAATTACTTTGTTTCAAAATTTTAAGGGTCATGAAGAAGTGATACTTAATGCCCTTCATTTTATAGAGGAGGAAAAGGGAGCTTCAAAGAGTTTGAGTGACAGAGCCCAAACAGGAACTCAGACCTCTCACTGCTCTTGACCCTCAGTCACTCCTCTTTTTCAGTATACTGTGTGGTCAATTATTGGGATTAGTGTGTGTATTAGTTTGCTACGGCTGCCATGACAAAACACCACACACGGAGTGACGTAAACAACAGAAGTTTTTTTTCCTCACAGTTCTGGAGCTGGTAGTCCAAGTCACGTGGCAGCCTGGTTGGGTTCTGGTGAGAGTCCTCTTTCTGGTTGCAGAAGTAGCTTATGTGACAGCTGGTGAAAGAAAAATGATGGCTTGGGTCTTGAAAATGTAGATTCTTGCCATTATAAACTATTGGGTCACAGAGTTACACACCTAGGAGAATGATTTTATGGTAAAGCAGGGAATGAGAGTGTGCCAAGAATTTGGAGACACAGTCAGGAAAGGGTTATTCTCAGAATAAAGGAAGAATTAGTAAATAATGAAACTACCTGCAGAAGTATGCTCAGAATCCTAAGCTATTTTGCAAATGTGTTGCTGCAAGGGCCAAGATGTTTACTTTAAGAGATCAGAAGATAAGCTAAGAATCCCTATGGTACTAAAAACTAGATTTTATCAATTGTAGCTCAAGGGAACATCAGAGTGGGGACCAGGAATGCCTGGAAGCTATGAAAGTGATAACAGAAATAAAAGTTATGGTCTACTCATTCAGTAGAATACATATGTGGTAGGCCGGGCGGGGTGGCTCAAGCCTGTAATCCCAGCACTTTGGGAGGCCGAGGCGGGTGGGTCACGGGGTCAAGAGATTGAGACCATCCTGGTCAACATGGTGAAACCCCGTCTCTACTAAAAATACAAAAAATTAGCTGGGCATGGTGGCGCGTGCCTGTAATCCCAGCTACTCAGGAGGCTGAGGCAGGAGAATTGCCTGAACCCAGGAGGCGGAGGTTGCGGTGAGCCGAGATCACGCCATTGCA